AATAATACATAAATGGTCATTTCTTTCAGTAATTAATTCTATTATAAGTTTATCTTTCTAAAAGTTAATCAACAAAATAAATAATTTTCAAACAAAAAATTCATAATTAATAAATTTTAAACTTATTTAGATAAGGGTAGTATTAGTGTAGTGTATAGGGAAATATTTCAATAGTTTTGATTTTTTCTCTTGTTTATTTTCAATTACAAAATAATAATTCAGAATAATAACAATGGTTTGATTAATACAGAATTTATTGAGAGACGAGAGCTGACTGCTGAAACTATGTATTTTCTTTCATTCGATCCTTATGAAGAAGATACTTTTATTTAAAATTTTTAAAATACTTTGAAGCTGGTTTAACGTATTCAAAAAGTACTCATGCGTACAAAACGTATAGTTTTTTGATTTTAAAAACTTCGGTTTACTCACTGGTACAAGGAACCTCCTTGGCAAGACCGGCATTATGGGGGGGGGGGGGGGTGCAATACTCTTCAACCATGAATGACATATTTATATAGTCGGCAATTATAACAACTTAAGTAATATTAATATTGCTGAATTTTGTTTTAGAAAGTTGACGGCAAATTTATATATTTATAATGTCTCCTCTCCAATCAATATTTGCTAACGCCGGCCCTGCTACTTTAATTCCACTTTTGCCTCGTAAGTAACAGCCAAAAAGAATGTACTCTGAAAAACATACTACAAGTATATTTCTTCAGTCGACAATATTTATAACGCAGCAATCGATGCCGTCGCCTGCATGGAGTGTGACTCATCTGCCACAAAACACTTTTACTGTTCCGTCGTGTTTTCTGTTCGTCGCCCACGAGATGAGCACGGCCCGGCAACCAGTTTCTCCTCCCATCGAATGTGCTATTATATACCATTATATACCATTGTCTCTTTCGTATAATATTACGCACGCGAGTACACGACAACAAAACAAAACTGTCATTAATCAGAATGTTTAAAAACAACACAATTTTTCATCTCCGCCTTCTATTTATAAACGCAGAGACAAAATAACTTTCACTCGTATGTGTGCACTTTAATTTCGAATCGTTTAATAATAATCGTTCGTCGTCGTTGTTATGCGTGCGTGTACATTTATTACGATTACGTCCGGTACGAATTATTTCATTACGAATGATTTCCGATCGTCCACTCATATTATCTAACGCGTTTAAAAAACAATAAATAGTACGTACCAGAACGTTATCAATAATATACGAATACGCATATATGTACACATATATTCATGTGTACATAATTATAAATAGATGTATATGTAGTTTAAAAAACTTCGCCACGACTCGTTTGTCCCGTTATAGAGCTCTTGCCCCGCGCGCGTGATTATATATACTTCATTGCATAGCGCGTATTATTATATATTGTATATATTATTATTATTATTATTATTATTATTATTATTATACTATGCGTTCGCCACAGCCACCATCATCACTGATTTGCGTTCGGCGAGGGGCTATCCTCCGTCGTTTCTGCCATTGTTGTTCCTGGTCGTGAGGTTCAACAACCAGGTATATACATATACCATATGCGAGTGTGTGCATGTGTGTACCTACATAATATCTTCGTCTAGCGTTGTGACCATGCAAATATATGATGGCAGTGTGTCGGTACCAGATTCGAACCAATCTAGCGCTGCGGTGCGGTGTATTCCTACTTCTCTGAATCATATTTGATTTATTTATTCACTAAAAATCATAGGCTATAGCTGTAAAAAAAATCTTTATGTATATAGATATATTTATATCTATATATATTTTTCGACCAACATTTATTGTATTTTGTCGGGTATTGCCTTCACGTGACCCGGGCCGAGTTAGTCATCGGCGAGCAGTGTTTGTTTACGAGTGTGTTCACTGAGTAGCGTGTAGAAAAAACGGAATGTCGTCAATAATGATGTTATTATTCTAATTATTCGTAAATATTTTATGTAGTGAAATGTAAATTATTTATCGATAATCGATATCTATACTGTTGTCATATTGACATACTATTATCACAATGTTATGATTTATACAATGGTGTGTATTATTAGTACACATTGTCTTGACTGTGTTAGTTAATTATTTAGCAAAACGTTTGTTCTGTTTTATAGAAATTTCCAGTTAACGTGATTTGTGAGAGGAACAACGCTGCTGCACATCATGTCGGCGGGATACCGATCAGGAAACATGCCTGGTGAAGTTTTATTCCAGTGGTTCTCTTGCTGTGTAAACCAACGTACTCAACAGGTAATTATAAGCCATCGGATTTACTGTGAATAAAATTTATTGTTTGTTCACAAACGGTGTTTTAAAATCATTTTTTCAATGTATTGTTCAAGAGTTAAATAAATAAATTTTAAAAAAACGATGCTCGTGTAAAGTATTGTAGTTACGACCGATTTTAAATTATTGTTTATTGTCTTCGAGATTCATTTTTTTTGATAAAAATTTGACCTTAAAAACAATTTTTCTCGTAAAATTTAACTCTGTATTAATCTACTACTGATTTTATCACGATGTGAATCAAACATTTTCCGAAAAAATTCGAAATTCTTTAAAAAAATAAAAAGTTAATGATACCTAAGTTATATATAAACATATTTTTTTAAAATATATATCACTATGTGTGATAAATAGTTCTCAACAGTCATTAAAAATATTAAGTATATATTAAAAAAACATATACTTTTTTCATTTTTAAGAATGAATAAACTGGTTTTAAAGCTTGTTTACTATACATTCTTTTACGTAATTTATTGATGTGTTCAAGTTTTCTTGTATACTTACATTATACAAGAGCAATTACATATTATATCTAATTAGATAATAGTTTTAAAGATACGTTTCTTATTTATCACCGTTTAAACATTTAATGGATACAAAATATTTGATTAATTTCAATAATCCTGATCCTATCCTAACCTGAACCATAATATCCGATAGTAAAATAACTGTTGAATTAGTTGTATATATTTTTTTTAATAATGAATTAAAATAAAAAAATGTCTCGTACTTCTGATTTAATTCAAATGTTATTGTTATTATTAAGGGCAAACGTCATGTAAATCGAGTACGCATTGATCGATCAATGATTGGAGCGCCCACTAATTTTCGGCATACCGGTCACATAGGTTCGTCCGATGTTGAAATGGGATCGTCTAGATTGCACGCCATCCATGGACAAATGCAGTCTAAAGGCGGTTACGAAGCTACCATTGAAGTAATTATATTTACCATTTTATATTTTTGTGTATTTTTTGTTTTTATTTAATCAGATTTTGTAATGGATGTGTAATATATGGCGAGTGTGACTACAACACTTTTAGTTTTTCGGCGGTTATTAATTTTTTAACAAACTGGATTCTTTAATTGTTTCCAATTGTCGGTCAATGAATTCAAATGCACAGAGTTTTAATTTATAACATACTATTTTGTTAACATTGTCAGTATAGTTAAGGTCGACGCTAAGATAAAATCGTATTATGGAAATGATTATTGCGGTTTCAATTTCCGGTTCACAATATTTTATTGAATATTTGTTGAGGTCTTCCAAAATAATTTATGTACATTATTATTGAATAATTATTATTTTTTATGTATTATTAAAGTTACTACCTATTACGTAAACATTTATTGTAAAGAATATTTTTAAGTTAAATTTATACGAATTAGGAAAAATCTTATTTTAGTACAATACTATTGAAATGCATTTAATTTAAAATAAGAGTTGTTTTAGATCATCATGAATAATAAAAATTCAAAAATGATTTAAATTTTCAAATTCTTTATTTTAGATTTCTACTAAATGTTTATGATGACTTTTTAGTTGTTTTTGATTTATTTTTTAGTGTTTGCATTTTTTATGGGTTGTGTGTAATAATTGTAAATATCAACTATACATTCAACATTCTAAAAGATAATGCGAATGACATGACCATGTGTTATGTTAATGAGGCGAAACTAATGAACCGTGTTTTTGTTTGTTTTCCAGGCGAATTGAACTCTGGCAATTGAGATGAACTGTGATCGAAATTCCTTGTGCGCCCAAAACAATTTTGGGATTGTTATTCCATTATTATTTTTTTTTTTATTTTTTTTTTTATTAATACTATAGCCAAGTATATGGATAGCATTCGTCATCAGTCAGACTAGTGTTTATATTCTCTATTATAATTATCATTAAATCAACTATTATTTTTTACTTTAATTTTAAAATTTTATTTAAACTATTAAGTAGTTTGTCGTGTCTTTAGTACACGATAGGCCGTCTTAATAAACATCTTGTGCTTACTAGTCTGGTTTTATTTATATATGTATCCATTTATATATATATATATATATATATATATATATATGTTTTTTATTTTATTTTATATGTATATATACATAAAAAATGTAATTAGCTTAAGATTTGAATTCAGTTGTGATGTTTTAGTGTTTTTTGTCTTTGAGTGCTTATCGATTTTTTTTTCAATAAAAATAATGTTCAATGTTGCCACTATTATATGATGCAAATCAAAAACAATTATATCCATTTGTACAATTTTTAATGGCATATATCAGTACCTCAAAAAAATGATAAGCCCAACAAAATTGTATTAACTATTAAGGCTTCTATATTAAGAAAAAATCTTATGCCATTATTATCATAATACTATAATAATAATTTGTACCATTCTTATTACCTAAAAGTAAGATTAACAATACTTTGTATTTAATTTATATCACATATGATTTAAGTTAGTTTTAAAATTGATAATCAGATATTGCATTTGAATGACTTAATAAATTTTACATGTTTGAAAGTATGAAAACATACACTGCCTATATATAAGCTCAAGTGTGTATGTGTGTTATATATTAAACAATAATTTGATTTCAAATATTTATGTTTGTATTAAAATTAAAACAAGAATTGAATAGAATCTTTGTAAAAATAATATAATACAAAATAAATATTTCATATTTAGGCAATAGTGTTGTTTAATGTTCATTGACTTAAGTTAAAATTGATAAAAATGTTTTTACAACAAATAATCGAAATGATGAAACATAAAAAAGTAAATTATTTTTACTATTGTATTTAGAATTATATTATTTTGTACAGAATAAGAGAAGGATCACTGAAGGTATTCCGATTTCACCCAAAACTTTTTTTAGTTAGTGTTAACAGATTTCACAAATAATGTTTTTAGTTATAATGAGAGTATATTATGTATATTTTTTTTTTTTTACTATTTGCTAATTATAGTCTTGCACAATCAATCAATTTATTATTGTGCTCATTTATAAGTCGATAAGTGTTTGGAATTTGCTATAAGATTATCATAAATCGGTAGAGTTCCTAAAACTTAAATGGTTCAATTTCATGATTTTGTATTTTATTATTGAACATATATCGTATAAATATTAGGATTTCAGATATTATTTGTATACCAATTTTATGAACATGATTTTAATATGTAGAAAAAATAGGTACTTTTTATGTGCAAAGCATTTTTTGGTTTAATTAGTTAATATTTCTTCATTCTCCAAAAACATTATTCAAATGTGTTATTATTTTATTTTCATAAAAAATTGGAAAACTAAATATAATGAAGCAGAAAGAAGAGAAAGAAAGAGTATTCTGAACAGTACTCGGATTGATAGTTGTTCTTATAATTTCACAACTTTTTTGTACGAATCAAGACGAGGTTAGTGAAACACTGACACATTGATATGGATCCTAGAATAACTGGTAGTTGTTTCCGCAATCGAAGATCTCGTACGTGAAAATAATTATGAAGATTTGGAGGTATAGCGTACATCAACTGACACTGTCGTGCGTCCATACTACTTTCAGCTAAAGAACTTAATTTTTCTGCGGTAAAAATAATATTTTGTACGTGTAATAGAATTTTTAACTTTTCAAAACAATCGTAACACAATCAGTAGTATGAAATAGGGGCTTCTGGAACTGCCTCTACCTTCCGTGATCCGTTACCATAGCCACCGCAAACTCAGTGTTCCCGATCCTCCACCACTGACTGATCGGAATAAAGAAAATTACAACAAAAATGTAATGTTTCAATTGGGTCTGATTAAAAATAGTGTTATAAAGTTTTGAGAACATTGATAACGAGATGAACAATGACATTTTATAATAGAAGGAATTTTGTTTGTAAAACCAAATCTAAACTGAGAGAGACAACGCAAGTCGAGAGTATAAAACAGTGGTTATCAACCAGTGTGCCGCGAGATCGACTAGGTGTGCCGTGAAAAATGTCTGATATTTGAAAATACCAATTGATGAAACTATGACAGTTAAATGTCAATTAATTGTGCAGATAAGACGATACAAATGTAGGTAAACTGTATAGTTTTAACCCAGCTGGATATCATAGCGTTTAGCCAAAGTTTTTGTTGTTGTCAAGTGGATGAGTGTACCGCGAAAACTTGTGATGTATAATGGTGTGCCGTGAACAAAAAAAGGTCGAGGACCACTGGTATAAAATATGCCATTGTGCACCGACCGAAATATAAAAGGATGGGTGATTCAATTTAAATGTTTAGAAAGGGAATTTCAGATAAATAGTGATCTCGAATTCTATTACAGCAACTTACTATAATACATAAAATTATTGTAAAACAGGTCAGTTACCCTAGAAACCATGAATAGTACAGTGTATATAAAAACTACACTATTATTTTACGTACTTAGTTTTTTTGTTGCACAATTTCGTGAACCTTCAACAAAAATTATTTTTGTTTTGCAAATTTTGAGATATAATTAGGCCTGTGCCTGAGTTGTATTTTCCTTGGTAAAGAAGAAATATTAGGATCCAGTGTATTATTTTTGTGGAAATTAAAAGAAAATACTTCTGTTCAGAACCGGCGCTACAAATTGCAGGGCCCCTTGCGAAATAGTTGAAATAAAATAATACACAACAATTAATATTTAATATAGACTCTATATTTTTTAGTTATATATAAAAAATAAATGTATAAAATTAAATAATATATTATATTATTTATTGTTGATTATATATTTTAAAACGATTTTTTTCTTGACTTTTCGCTAGGATCTGTAGTTTAAATAATTATATTTTTATTAATAATGTAATATTTTCTAAAGTATAATATTTATTCAGTAATGATTTGTTTTCCGCGGGGCTCCAAATATGTGCGGGGCCCTGTGCAGGTGCACTGGTTGTACTGCCGTTGCGCCCGCCCTGCTTCTGTTATATATTAATGAATTCATTTATTTTATTAATTTATGATGTACACATTTTTAAGACCTAATCACGAAATCTTATATTACTTACATATTTGTATTTATTTTTTTATATGATGGTATAGCGTATAACATAAAGATATTTGTTAAATTAGACAAAAATGTAGGTAACACATAATATTTAAATATTTAGGTTTTAGAATATGTAATTTACCGCTATCCTATCTATTATTTATGGATATTTTAAAAAAATGTTTAAATTAATACTACTTGAAAGCTGTTTATTTAAACAAATATCGCTTTATATCTATAATAAAGATTCATATTTTAACAAATAAATATATAGTAAAAATATATCAAAAGCTTGATATATTTCAAAAAAATTACTTCACAAATTGATTTTGATAACAACGTTCATTTACTTTGTATAACATTACAAAACTATTTAATAAATGCTTACATAATTTAATGTTCTTTTTTTCTGTTTGATAAATGCCGTAATTTTAGTTGAATTATGGTACACGTATTTTAGAATATGAGTAAATACACATAGAAGAAGAAGAAAACAAATAAAAAGTAATTTGTTACAACTATTGAGTGTTAAATAAATGTAAAAATAATGAAATAGGAAAATAATTAAGAAACATCTAAATATTATTATCAGTCATAAAATTTGACGTCATGAATATCACAGTTCAGTAGCCCTTTATGAAGGACGCCAAATGTTTTTTGTCTTCGTCGCTCAGACCGTTACGCAACGTACGCCTCACTGTAAATTTACAAAATTATGAACATTTCTTCACGTACATAGAATTAATCGTTACAATCAAGCAATTAAAAGATATTAAGTAGGCACTATAGAGTTACAAATAGTTACAAGACATTAAAAATTGCACAAAACTAGGGAACTAGATAAACAATAGTAGTAACACATCATGTCTAATGCTACGAAACGTCTATCAAATACTCGATAAACACTTATCAAATAATAGCTGTTAGGTGTCATATGTACGATGACTAATATAACGCCATAAGATTGTTGAACTTATTGCGCAAATACTATCATTACATCTTGTCCTAGATGTCGAGAATGATGTATCTTAACATCATATTTTAGATAATAACACGTTTCTTTAAATACGTGTAGTAGAAAATTGTTGAAATGTGTTTTGATATGTTTTTGGATTGTGAAATTAGAGAGAGAGAGATGAAAATAAAATTAATTAATCAAAAAAAAGTGAGCACATGAAGTCTAACTAATAATAAAGTAGGTAGGTTTATTTAAGTAGGACACAACAAAAAACACAAACGAACACAACATTTTAATTTACCAAAACTACGACATCGAATTACGAGAGTGACTGCTACTTTGTCTTGGTATATTATCCCTAGTCCGAGACCTTTTGATCACTGCGTAAGTCATTAAACATATCCAGGTAAAATATATAATATAGTTTCAAGTTAAAATGTTACATTTTATTACTCACGTGATTTTCTATGAGCGTCTTTAGTTCTCTTACGTTCCCGTTGAGCCGTTCTCGTGTTCGCCCCAGGCGTAGCAGTGACAGTTTTCACTAAGCTTTCAATCAACTCATCGTCATCGTTACTTAAGTGAACACCATTTGTATTTCCTGTTCGCGAAAATTTATAGCATTACACATTTTGTCAAAAAGTCGTTGGTGTAACCACACTAACCTATAGAATTTCTACACTGGTTTCTCCACGAGAACATTCTGTTGTGCGACGGGTCTTTGTCCAACAGTTGCCTGAGTTCTGTATCGGCGTCTTCGTTGTCTATTTTCCCCACTTCGGTAATCATTTTACCTCGTGTTTTATTCCGCTCTCGATGACTAGCCTTTTTATGAAGCTGTTGGATGACGCGCTCGCGAGTGGTACGATACTCTAACGAAAACTCGGAAACGATACGACACAATTCATTGGGCTTAGTGAGTTGAACTTTGTGCAAAGGAATACCGAGCCAAAGACAAAATTTATTGAAACGATTCATTACGCGTCGGTGGACTTTACCAAGAACTACAATGCGTTCTGCACAGTCTGCTAAAAATTCTGACATCCTAAAACAAAACATTCGATATTGACACAGAAAATTAACACTCACTATTAAACCATTTATTAAGTACTAATGTGTACATATTGTTACAACGATTTGTGGCGTACTTGGATTTAATAGCAGTTGCACCGTCGTGTTTGCTGATTGTCTTTAAATGATCGAAAGACGCTCTGCACTCTTGTTCGACTTTAGTTAACGTCGCAGATATTTCTCCGAAATCTACTCTGGATGCACGTGTAATAGCACCGATCTATGCTCAACAAATTATTCAATTAATCATTCTAAGTAACAATTATTGTTTTGAAAAACAAAAAATTACTTCAGAGTATAAATCCGTGGACTCGGGGAACTTATCCATAACGATATGACACAAATGATGAAGAAGAGAATGTTTATGTACAGTATCTTTGACTTCTGGTACTTTAGCCAAATACTCTATTTGAAACCCCTTGACCTCGGCGCCATTTAAAAATATTCCCACTGAGAGTAATGTGCCTAGTATTGCTTTAAATGTGCGATTGGTTTTTAATATTTCTATTCCTTGCATTAAGTCCATGAGTGGTTCAGCAATTTCTTTTTCAACATTTTCGTAATCCAGTTTAAAAGACCAGAGTTTCAGTCTAGCCGGTAGTTCAGATATCGACGCTAATGTTAATAGGAACTGTTCAGCACTGCCCAAAGGCAGATCTGGGCACGCAGATTGTGCCTCTTGAATTTTTGTACGCTCTTCTTCGCTAGGTAGCATTGTCATAAGTTTCTGTAAAAAAAATTATCCCAATTAAAAACAAAAATAATGAACATATAAATTTAGTTTTTTTAAATCAAGCATATAATAATTAATACGTGATTTAAATTTATTACCTCAATTCCCTCTCTATTAATGACAGTAGGATCCATTTTCAATATGGCCGCTTTGATGGACCGTGGCGGAGGTAACTTGGTCATGCCGATATTAATTGCATTGGATCGCTTTGGATCTAATACAATTACTTCTTTAGTTTTATTCATTTCTTGCTGTTTCTAAATATGTAAGTCATTATAAGAAAAATAGTAGTTGTATTAACACCCTCCACCCCTTTTAATCACAAGCATAAAGCCTTACCTCCTGGAACAATTTGTACAATCCGCGTTTTTTTCAGTTTGATAGAATTTAAAACAAACAAAATATAATTAAAAAGCTTCACAAAATATTATCAAGCATAAATGCAGATTATAATATTAAGAGAACTATTATAATATTTATCCGAAACCCCAAGTGTGTTACTTTTGCGTTACCCAAAACCATTTGTGAGGCCAAATATACAGCATTTATTACTTTATCAATGATAATAATAAATAATGAAAAATAATTTTTTATAATTTACCTTGGTAATAAAATCTTTTGCTCGAGATTCAAATAAGTGTTCAAGTTTATGGGTATCGACTTCGACAGGACTTAATTCTTCCCATAATAATCGTTCAGAGTTCAATTTAACTCTAGCCATTGGATCATCTCTAACTTCCTGAAAATAATAAAATTATACATTAAATTTAATTTAAAATAAATCGTTTGATTTATTAAATCATAATTACCTTCCAAAATAGTTTTACAGTCTTTTTGGTTTTCTTTGCCACATGTTGTTGCATGGGTGGTAACATAGGGCAAGGTGGCGGCGGAGGAGGAACTCCTCCAAGTAATGAAGAACATGCCAACACATCAGAATCGTCATCAGAGTGTAAAGTAGAAAAGTCTAAATCGCACAACTGAAGAGAACGATCGCACTCGCTTACTAATCTCTCCCATTGTAAATCAGTTTCAGTTTTTCTTGATAATATATCTATAGCTGAATCCGAAGTTGGACTTTTCACTACTTCATTTTTAGATTGAGATTTAGCAAGTCCTTTTAATAAAATTATAAGTGTTTAATTTAATAAATTATAATATTTATAAATATAATATACCTTCCATTGCTTTTGAAATTATTCCTCTCATATCATCTAAAGGTGGAGCAAGTTTGGTAGGTGATTCATCTGGACTGCGTAGACTTGTTAATTTCTGGGTTAAATCTTTTACTGAGCTTTCCCTTTGAACTTCCGAGTCTCCGTTACAAAATGACAAGTTAAATGGATGCAATCCATTTTGCCCTTCGGAACTTTCACCTAATAAAAAATCGTAATGGTCAATATAAATTGTATACAAAAGTATTAAATGAACTAATCTTACTGTATAATAAAATGATGCATGAAAAACAAAACAAATTTACATACCTTGATCATCAGTACTAGACCAATCGGGTCGAGCTATATTGTTCTTATACTGTTCGCGGAGCAAGCTCCGTTGTCTTTGAGCACGTTCCCTTCTTCGTTTTAAGCCAGGGGTCACTCCAGCGTCCTCACCTGATGCAAAGCGAAACAAACAAAAACACTTCACAACGACGGTTACAAATATTAATGCTTCAAGCTAAGCAGAAATAAGCAAAATAACGAACTACTTAGATTATGGTAAAACATTTTTTTTTTTTTTTTTTAATTGAATGTTAGAAAAAATTGTCAAAAACCATAAATAATAAATGGGTTAGATGAGATTCACAAATACTTTAAAACATATTCATCTATACCTGGATGAGGTAATTTATTTAGCTTTGGTTGAGGTGAATTTATATCAAGTCTTTCCATAAGTAAAGGCATCTGAACAGATGGGTTACCAGCCGAGTGTCTTCTAGATTTTCTTCTATCTACAGAATCTAATGAAGAATTCAAGGATTTTCTGTTTCTTAATGTTTTCCTATTAAGTATATTATTTAATAGAAATTAATTTTTTTAAATTTTTTATAATTTTTAATATAACTTACCTGATTGAATGGTCTACTCTGATTGGAGTAGATTTGTTATCTCCATCTTCGTGTTGCAGAACAACTTCATATATCTGAAGTTGTCTGAGAAGATCGAGTTCAGTTCCTGGCTTAGACATGTATCTGAAAACAAATATGTTTATTGTACCTAAATATAATAGTTAAAAAATTTTCATATTACTTTTGTACGACTTGTTCTATTCCTTGTTCTTCAATAGCATCAACTTGATCGTAATACGTATCTTGATCTGGTATACCGTTCAATGTTTTATTTATTAACGTCATAGCATAAACTAACAGTTCCGTGTCAACCATGTCGGGTTCAGTGAGCAATTTCATAACATTACTCCACAGTGGCGTGCCTGAACGAAGATTAAACCGTACAGAAAACATTCATTCAATGTAAATAAAACATGATGTTTACCATTAGATTGATGCACTGCATGAACAGCTTGAATAAAAATCAAACAATTGGATTCGACGTATTCTATAAAGACTAGCAACAGTTTTAACGCAGTTTTAACAACCAATCGAAATCTGGATGTTAGTAACGAGTACAACCATTGAATGGTAGGGTTATCTTCGATAACACCATTCATACCATCCACGTACAACATCACTTGACCGAGAGCTAAAAATAAAATGATTATAGTTATGGTATGTACAAATAAAAATCAATGTGCAAAATACCTCTTAATATATAATTTTGGTAATTTTGGTCGACATCCGATCCCAACTTGATGAGACACCTTAGCCCGTCATTCTGAATAAACTCGTGAACCAAATCCTTATCCTCCTACAACATATTATAATAATATTTCATCTGTATATCTGTGTATATGGCACTCGAACAATGGTTCAGGCTGTTTACATTGCTAATCATTAGGCGCACACGACAAACAGTTTCTTTAAACCTTGAAACGTGTGCCCCTGGCAAACACGCGCACAAAGGAATTATTGTTATAGTACGTTCCTTGTGTCGTGGTCTCTCACCTGAAATATGTGCTTGAGCGCGAACAAACATCTACGGAGCTCCTTACCTTCAGAGTTCATCAATTTGTCTGCAAAATAATACAAATTAAAGGTCACGATTTTTCGTGTACTATTCGGGAACAGAAGCAATTTTCACGGTGTTCATCATTATTCGTTATCAATTGTGCCCTAACGTATTCTATTCACATAAACGTTTAAAACGTACAGCCAAAACAATTCGCGACTTCACGCTATGAATTCGTTCGGACTAACATTGGTTTCAGACAATATAAGAACCACTCGACCATACATAATAAATTTTTCTTATTTACAATTTATGGAATACTTACCAATTATTGTATGTACTTTGACTGACAACTGCGTGCGCAAGACAATCGAATTTCTTTTACTGTAATAAAACATTTTTATTGTTAACAATCAATAAATTATAATAGTTGATAGTTGGATTATTACAACACAATATATTGTAAAATAATGTTTGCGTTTCAATTTTATCATAAAATTAAATTTTTTTTTTTACATGAACATACAAATATTTAATTTTACAATATTACCGTAGTATCCGTATGAAGTTTCTCTTAATGCAGAAGAATATTTAGAATTGTAAATGATAAAAAGTACGGCATGAAAAGAAAGAGGCCGAGATAGCAAACAATTACCGTGGGATACAAAACTATGTTTTTTGAACAGCCCGAAATCGTGACTAAAATAAAAACTCCATCCGACATTTAGATCTAAACGTTCGTTGAATTTTTCTCTTGGGTAACTACAACCCGTGTCGAAGGCGGTAACATAATAGCTCTCATTTATTTATTTAGTTTTTTAACTAAGTGTCCATATCGATCTTAATCTGTCCCCATAACGGTAATTTTTTATCGTAATTATAATACTCTGCTGAAGCTGTGACAGATTCTTTTTTTTGTTCGTTTTATTTACCATGTTTGATAGGACACGGTAACTAGATAATAACAGTAAAATTAGTTCACAGTTCATTAAATAAATATCTAGTCGAGTTCTAAAAAACAATAACTGTTGTATACACCGAATGACAAATACCTACCGAACATTATTGGTTGAAGTTTTATCGAATATTTTCATAGAATAATTACTATAGATCATGCAACTTATTTAACCAAACATTTTGAATATTTTTTTAACTAACTCAAAATAAACATAAAAAACTTTCAATTATAAAAGAATGTTGGAAATAGTAATTTAGAACAAAAAATGTATCGCATACATTACATACAATATTAATTTAACGTATTGCTTATGTGTTGTTCGATGTTGTCACGCAAACCGGAGAAACATTAAAACGATCATTATTATTTTAATACGTTTTTACAAGTAAGAACCTATAAAAAAAATAATTTTATTTTTAAATAATAATTATCACAATGAATTTATGATAACTCTCCATGACGCCATAAAAAATATTCTTCATACTTGATGTTTTAAAGTTCTCCGCAGTTCATTATATTTTCGTAATTACCTGTTCTTGTACACATGAATGCATCTATCCCTCGTTAGTGTATATAAAATTTAAAAAGAAAGAGTTATACTGAATATTTGATAAGTAGTTGTAATCGTTGTTTAAATTATAATGTTACTGTTCGTATAATGGCATAGTTTTATTTTGAATAGTTATTATTTATTGGATATTTAACAACTAACAATAACACGAACGACATATTAAATATATTTGTGTATATAATATACTATTTTGATACCTGTGCTACAACAAATAATATAATTACATCAAAATAAACATAGCAAATTATATTAAAATCTAGGAAAATTTGTTCTAACATATTACGTTTCGTGTTGAAAAGTTCTGGGATTTAAAAGATAATTGTATAACTCATACGTAATCTACCAGAGTTGGGGGAGCTACATGTCGGCGAATCGAAAATAACCTATTCAAATACAGAAGTGTATTGTAATCCCGGTATTTTTATTTCATAAATAGTATTTGTTAATATTGGCTGTTGAATTTCATTCGAAAACGACGGAACTATATCTCTATCAAAATAATCTACAATACACGTACGACACGTAGCTACACGTAGGCTAGATAATTGTTGAATACAAAACGATCGGTGATAGAAATACGAGTTGGGAGTCCCTGTACTCGAATACTTTTAAACCAAAATGTCTGTACCCATCTGTAACGCGTTCCGATTGAAAACAAATCGTTATGTTGAACACACTCGGTCGGGAGAAAAACATCGGACGGGATGTTCGATTGCGTCCGATCTTGGGAGATTTTTAACGTCGGAGTCTCGAACGTGAGAAAAATTAACGTCGCCGGTAGGAACCCACGCACGTTGAACGTAACGGCGATATGTTAATAACACGTCGCAGAACACGTTACGCCTATACTCTTATCCCGGGACGCGTTCGGATGTGACCGTCGTCACGATTCGCGTCTCGTCGCGGTCGCTGTCGACAGCGGTCCGCGGATCAACCCGTTGGACGACGACGACGATACGGATCGTTTCGTACGGATGATTCGTCGACACGACGCACGGATACGACGGCGGCCGCCGCAGCTATCGCGCGTGGATCGCCAAACTCACTCGTTTTGAAATCCTTCGAACTCCTCCGGCTGTTCGGAAATGGACGCCTCCATGTCCAGGTACGATCCGAAGTCGCCGTCCTTGTACAGCTGCAGGGCGGCGTCGTCCAGCTGAAACACACGGAACGGGACGGTCAGATCAGCACGTCGATGGCGAGTCCGAACAACGCTACGGTTGTATCTCTATCGACGAGCCCCGCACTGCACGGGAAGCGGCGACAACGACGACGGCGATACCACGGTAAGTATACCGGGCGGTGAGCGCGCAGGTGAATGACGCGGACCCGCCGACCGCGGGATGTGACACGCGGAGCGCGGCGCGGTGACGACATCGTGCAACGGCGAGTGGTGGCCGTCGGACGAGGGGTAGATGGTAGGGGGTAGGGGAGGGGGCACGGTCACGGTCGACCCGCGTGCGCGCGTGCAAGTACACGGCGGGGTACGCGGGCGGTGGTGGATCCGAGGGTTCCGCGCGCGGTTAATGATGTCGGGAACCGACCACGATTCGCGACGGTAATTATCAACGGGGCAAAAGGTCCGTGAACCTAAACCGACCGGTTGCGACGGATCTGGACCGCGTTTGTCACAGCGCCTTTTCTCTCTATTGCCGCCGCGTGGGAATCTCCCGACCGTGAAACGACTACGCGCGTTACACGATATCATTACTGTCGTTATCATTATCGCTGCTGTACGCACGTTCCTGCGCTGAGCACGCACATGGATATGCCCTGGGCCCACTGCGCGCGTTCGCGACTCGAAAACTTGGTCGGCTGCACGACGTAAGGTGCGCCGATGGTGCGAAGATTGCGACAAGATTTGTAGGACATTGCGCGCCAATCGTTATGAGATATTATGTACCTGTTATGGCTGTGCAACATAAGCGCCCCAAAAATTCATGTTTTATATATTTTACAAAAGTATTTAAAAATATTTAAGATTGTTAATGATAATCGACATGACATAACGTGCACGCAGGTAAGAATGGTCGAGAACAAATATAATTTTAATAAACTGGTTGACTTTTTAATCCAACTTTTTTTCCCATATCCTAAACTACTTATTTCACCATCCTGGTATTAACATACTTCCACTAAAGAACTATGTTATCGCGAGATATCCAAGGGGAAAATTAAGGGATTTAATGTATTATATGTTAGTATGTAATAAATACTTAATAAGTATGTCTTCAATTGAACATTGGTCAAAAGATTAACCACATTAATTAATCTTTTATATTTTATCATTTTAAAATATATTATGACTTATATACATATGCATTTAATAAAATTATATATTTAATATATAATATTTAAATATCTGTAAATACAAATTAGCCCCCTCTACTTATGTCATAATTGTAAGTCCGCCCTTGAATACATCTTTAATTTTTTGTTAGAAGGAAATTCATAAATGAATACGTTTCGCTTTGTAATTTTAATAATACATAAACTACGCGAACAGAACAATGAGCCATATAAAATTGATTTTTTTAAACGTCGACGACATGATTTAGCCGCATTTGCAGTCCGTGTAAATCTGAAACGGACGAAAATCCACAAAAATGTTGACCGTACACGTAATTATTTATATCAAAAGATGAATTTTTCGTGTGACACTAAGAGATACCCGTTCCTGTTGAATTTAAGTCAGAACTCGGACTAAGATCATCGGTATTCCAGGTTATCACGCTCGATCGCGTAGGTATCCGTATAATTGACGGTCACACGCTTCATGCAGTTCTTCAACCGCCGCGAATCCGTAACAAAGACGTGTGCACGCGCGCACGATGCGTCGCCGCCACCACCACCGGTGACCGTTATAAGCTTTTGCGCGATGTTCTCGTAATCGACGACGCCGAATCCGGTTAAATAAGGACCGTTATCCTGAGCGTTAGATCGTGGCACGGAGGAAACACCCCGTGGGGGGTGCGCAGTGCCGTTGCCCGCGGGAGAACGCGATCCGTTCGCCGCCCTGCCGCCGTTGCAACGCACGCGATAACGGGAACGACGCCGATAACCATTTGTACGTGTGCGCGTGGACACGATGGGACGAATAAGACGTACGCGAACACGCCGTCCATGCACTATTATTGTGTTTCCGTGGCGATGGCCGATGAGCAATGGCGTACGGGTCGAACGGGCTATCGGCGCTCGTCATCGCGGTATTACGCGCGGGCCCGTTTGTGCAGTCCGACCGAATGCGATCGGCCGTCAACGCGCGTTGACGGAAGAACGGAAGACCAATATCGGTATCGTTTGATAACCGCGACGGACCGTAACGGTCGCGGACACCGCCGCCACGCGATTTAAACGATTTCTCGACGTAAACCTACATGGGGTCTATATTATAGGAGTCGTATTTATTCGTGTTCTATGTTATACGTTAAAAACTATACCGTACAATATTACAGGGCTTATTTTAAGGTTTGTATTTAAAAATGTGTAAAACTTAAAATTCAACCCCTTCCCATACTCTCAAAAATATTACTCCCTGTGTATGATTATAAATCATACATATTATGTAATAACAAAATAATAATAATAATAATAACGCAGTCTTAATAAACCTAATCTGATGATTAACGGATCCTGCACTTGGCCATGAAGTCGATAACTACAATTTAGTAAGAAATAGATAGTATTTACAACTGCGCATTTTTTGAATTAGAGCTGCGCATTTTTCATTTAAAATCACGCAAAATGTGTACAAACGCACATTAAAATAAGCCTTGCAATATTATCATGTTGGTTTTTGTCATTCATTTATAAAATATCAACGATTCCCAAACTTTTTTGATTTACGTATCCTCGAAACAAAAAAAATGTAATCGTACATCCCTTGAATAAGTAAAACAACGAAATGTTTTTAATTATTTTAATAAATATAAATTACTGTCGATCTAAAAATAAATACTTAATAGTGTAACGTACAATGTAATTATTTGTCTTGCACCTCCTCCAATAAGTGCCTACGCCTCCCTAGAATGGCGCGTCTCACAGTTTGGAAAACAATGTGTATATCCAGATACATTTTAATAAGTGTCAGAATTGTATCATTATGTGTGTATAATAAACGTAGTTGAACAAGGTTTTTCTCAAAACTGTATAAAATCCGTTTATCGAACCGTAAAATCATTAATCAATGATGACTAAGAAATATTATTTAGTAATAAATTCAATAGTTCATATACTGGCTGGATATTTTTAATGCTCACTTATTAGTGACTAATGAAGGTACATGAAAAAATAAAAATCTAAACTATCATTTAAATTCCGACAAGAAAAGTTTCAGTTTAAGCAATTTTGTTCAGGAATTCGGTATTTAAGTCGTTTTTTTAGCACTAATAGACACAAAATCGATCATTTTTGTGCAGTAATTTACGTTTACTGCAATCCCAAGAAACAATCTCTAAGTAATAACAGTTTAATTTTCTAAGCTCTTTCATCCAAAAATACATTTTAAAGTGTAATATAAATCTTTAAAAATTACTTACATAGTGTAGTCATTAACCATGTGTGTCATTAAAAAACAATTTGTAATTTTGATATTATACTTTAAGTAATGCATTTAATCACATAAAAAGTGGCTAAGATAAATTATTATCATTTCTACCAAAATATTTAGCAGTATTGTACAGTATCCGTAGGTACTCTTTCAAATGTTCGCTAAAAATCGAACCGACAATATCGTTTTCACAAATAAAATTCAAGATGTACTAGCGATTACAAAAATCGCTATAAACATATAGATTGTTATAACTGCATTAAAAAATGAATCTAGACAAATTTAAATTACAATATTACTGATTAGAATATTAACAGATAACTAATATGTAACTAATTAAAATGATAAGATATAACTTTAAATAATTATACTTATATGGTTATACACACTTTAAGTTTTATAATTTAAGCGAAAAATTTTAATTATTTTTTATTGTTGCATAGTACGCTAATCTGCATTTCCAACGTAACGTAATTAAAATTTCAAACACATAATGTTAAACACTAAGCACATTATTACTTTTATTCTTAACAGTAACAAAATTCTGTAATTACATCTAGTATTATATTATAGTTAAGACATGAAGAAACTTGTTGAATAGTTCTGAATACACAAATATAATTTGATTATCGTGTAATAAGTAATATGATTAATTAAGTGGTTAATTTAACTACATTGTTATAAATTATAATTCATTATACACGAAAAAAACGTGAACCAAAAAGACTTTAACGAAAGGGAAAAATAATTTTATTTTATCTATGAATTACTAAAACAGCTATAGCCTTAATGTAGAATTGTTATACTAAAATAATATATGTATATTTAAAAGGAAAACCTCTAACGGCTATAACCATTAAACAAACAGCTATAAAATGTATTAAAATGTTAAGAATTTAATTGGTCTTAAAGTCGATAAAAATCGAATAATAGATATCTTCATAAATATACATATATAATAAATATGCTATACACTTTTATAATTATAAAAATACATAAGTAATTTATTTATAAGTTTATGCGATGACTGATATTTTGACAAAATCGCATGTCATATAATAATTTCTAACATAAGTCTCTTGTTTCTATTAAGAGCAGTAAAATAAAATATTTGTAGGATAACATGTATATAAAAAAAATAGAAGTAATCTTGACATTTTCTAAGTCATTAACTTTCTAGGTTTACCTTAAAACTAAATCAAATACCTCAGATATGTATTTTTTAAATATAATATATTTAAAAAAAAAGTTCAATGAATTTCATATGGCAGATCGTTAAAAATTCAAACAACATGGTATCTCGAAAGATCAAAGTGATTAAAGATCAATTGTTATAATTTTTATTATTAGATACTATGTATAATAGTTAAGCATATTTAATGTTGTAAAAGAGAAATGTAGATTTATGTAAAGTAATGCACTATAATATATAAATATATAAATTTTTTTTTTTTTTTTTTGTCAGTAATATAATAATATAATACTTAGGTATTGTATACAAATATTAGCTTAAATTAGTATATTATCCTAGTTATCAAATTATATATTGTAACCTATAATGTATAATGTATATGTAACAAAAAGGAAATTAAATTAAAAGTAAAGAC